CTAAGATCTGTGGCAAATATGTTAATGATAATTGTTTTGTTCAGCAGGATAATCTCCACATATTTATAGAACTTTCATTATTTTCAAAACATAAATGCAATTGCCAGGAAGCTATAAATAAACTACATTGACTTTGACATCACAGTTGCATGGCTGCGCATCACCAATGCTAAGCTCAATTTGGCTAATGTTTGAAATTATGGCATTTAATAGTCTCATTTAGTTACTTGTTAGCAACCACCTTGTTTATGAAGCGAAAAAGCTTCAGACATCGCAAGCTGGGTTGATACTGACGTATTTTATGTCGTCGGACAAAAAGTGAAAACTCTCATCAGCTTGTTAAGCACAGCTGTTTTTCAGGCATCTAAACACAAACATGTTCAAATATCCAATAACTACGAGACAAGCTGGAGTGCGTCGATGCGCAAGCTCTCGTCCAAAGAACAGGGTTAGCGCCACACAGCAATCTTTAAAGGTTGTTTTCTCAAAATGAGTTTATCATATTCTGAGTGAGAAATGTCCACTTCAGTAGCACGTACATACACCAAACCTTCCAGTTATATTCTTATCAATATTCTGAAGGTTTTTACAGAAGGGTTTGTTCATATATCATTCATAGCCTGAATTATATAACATTTTATACCTAAAAACATGGCGAAGATTGATAATTTAGGGCTGTTGACAGTATTTTCTGATTTATGGAGTGATACAAAGAGATATCGAAAATCCCTTCTGTAAAAACTTTAGATTCTAATATGACTACAAAATGAAACAAGAATTTTGAACCTGGCTTTATCCAATGTTCAGATTTGTGTTCCTGAAATGTATTAAAATATGCGCATATTTAATGAGGTTATGGCTCATTTGTATATTTAAACAGAAAACTTGTAATACAAAAAACAATTGTCTTAATGTAAGTAATTAACTGGAGAAATGTATAGCTGATATCTTTAAGTTAAAAACATACCCTATTCAATAGTGTCTCACCTTAAAGTACCAAAAGTAAAAGTAGTCATTGTGCAGATTGGTCCATTTCAGAATAATATATCCATCCATCTTCTCCCGCTTATCCGTGGTCGGGTCACGGGGGTAGCAGTTCCAGCAGAGAGCCCCAAACTTTCTTTTCCCTGGCCACATCAACCAGCTCTGACTGGGGGATCCCAAGGCGCTCCCAGGCCAGCGAAGAGATATAATCCCTCCACCTGGTCCTAGGTCTACCCCTTGGTCTCTTCCCAGCTGGACGTGCCTGGAACACCTCCCTAGGGAGGCGCCCAGGTGGCATCCTAACTAGGTGCCCGAACCACCTCAACTGGCTCCTTTCGACGCGAAGGAGGAGCGGTTCAACTCCGAGTCCCTCCCGGATGACTGAACTTCTCACCTTATCCCTAAGGGAGACACCAGCCGCCCTGCGGAGAAAACCCATCTCGGCCGCTTGTATCCGCGATCTCGTTCTTTCGGTCATGACCCATCCTTCATGACCATAGGTGAGGGTAGGAATGAAAATGGCCCGGTAGACGGAGAGCTTTGTCTTCTGGCTCAGCTCCCTTTTCGTCACAACGGTGTGGTAAAGCGACTGCAGTACCGCTCCGATTCTCCGGCCCATCTCACGCTCCATTGTTCCCTCACTCGAGAACAAGACCCCAAGATACTTGAACTCCTTCACTTGGGATAAGGACTCATTCCCTACTTGGAGTGGACAGTCCATCGGTTTCCTGCTGAGAACCATGCCCTCAGATTTGGAGGTGCTGATCCTCATCCCAGCCGCTTCACACTCGGTTGCGAACCGATTCAGTGAGTGCTGAAGGTCGCAGACCGATGAAGCCATTAGAACCACATCATCTGCAAAAAGCAGTGGTGCAATCCTTAGTCCACCGAACTGCAGACCCCCTCCCCCACGACTACGCCTCGAAATCCGAGCCATGTATATTACAAACAGGATTGGTGACAAAGCGCAGCCCTGGCGGAGGCCAACCCTCACCTTAAATGGGTCCGACTTACTGCCGAGGACCCGGACACAGCTCTCGCTTTGGGAGTACAGAGATTGGATGGCCCTGAGTAGAGACCCCCTCACCCCATACTCCCGCAGCACCTCCCACAGTAACTCCCTGGGAACCCGGTCATACGCCTTCTCCAAGTCTACAAAACACATGTAGACCAGATAAGCGTACTCCCAGGCCCCCTCCAGGATCCTTGCGAGAGTAAAAAGCTGATCCGTCGTTCCACGACCAGGACGGAATCCGCATTGTTCCTCCTCAATCTGAGGTTCGACAATCGGCTTGACCCTCCTTAATAATAATAATATATATGATATGTTTTATAATGATTGATCATGAAAGTGTTCTCAAAGCTGGTAAAGGTGCAGCTAGTGTGAATGACTTTGTATACTGCAGGGTAGCTTGTGAATTTACTCCAGGTGGAACTAAAGTCTGATTTAACACTTGATTAGATTTCACATCATTCATCCTGTTAGAGCCATTTTACCTTTTGTTATTATTGTCTGAATGTTGGGCTTAATAATAATATAAATTAGATTATACTGTAAATTATCGGCTATTTTTGTGAGTCACATTATGGTTTAAAATGCATTAATTTAAGGCTCACTTATTATTTGTTATATGTGCGTCAGTATCACGTGCATGGCTATGCCTATATATGGTAGATTGATAGGACACAGCTGGGGGTGATAGACGGGGAAACGGAAAAGTCTTTTGAACGTGTTCTTTTTGTTACTTTGGAAAATGATACACTTTTGAGTTACTATGAAGCGAAGAAATGTGTCCTCCTGTATGTACCGTGTGGATCAATAAAGCTCACCTGATTCAACTACGATCTCCGCTGAAATGTTTGGAAACAAAGAGAGGCGCGTCAAAACCCACAACCCCGATAGAGGTGGCTATTAAATTGTAGACAAGGATCAAGACGCCACCACACATCCAGATCTGTAAAGTACCTGAAGGTATTAAATAAATGTAGTGGAGTAAAAGTGCACGATTTACCTCTGAATTGTAGTGGAGGAGAAGTACAAAGTAGCATAAAATGGAAATACTCAAGTACAAGTATCTTAAAATTGTACTTAAGTACAGTACTTGAGTAAATGTACTTAGTTAATTCCCTCCTCTGCTTAAAAGCCTCTCTTGTGTGAACAATTTGATTCAGGCAAAATATAGTGAATATATATAGAAATATTCAAAACTAATAAACCCTAAGGTAAAAAGTATCATTGTTGTGTCAATATATAAACGATAAATTAATATATATATAGTTTGACGTGTCTGTAGCTACCACTCGGACTAATTTGCCTCAGTCATTTAAAAATAAAAACTTAAATTATAATATATTGACATACCATCCGACAACAAATGAACTTTCATGGGCATTTCTGAAAGCTTCTGTTTCTAAGAGAATATCAGAGATATTAATCAAGAGTGGGCCTATCTTGATCATAGTTAAATACAGGAGGAAATTAGATGGCACAGGCCTGATCACAGAGGATGTACTTAGTAAGAGTTTGAAGCATGGGGGGGTGTCCTAAATTCTCTGAGTACTAAAGTCAAGACACACTGTTCTTCACATTTTAATAATACATGTTTGAAAAGAGCTTTGTACAAAAGCTGTTTCCATGGTGAGTTCCCTGAAGCTAGAACATTACAAGATGAATTCAAAACACTGTGTATGTGACCTCTTCCCAGCATTGATGACTGAAAGTAAAAAGAAAGTACTGTGGGCTGACTGGACTCCATAGAGCCTCCCCATCCCAAGGTTAGCATTAGCATTAGCCATTGTTAATCCCAATGAATAATAAGTAGTTACACCTGCTCCTCCTAATGTTTGCTGTGCAAATGGCCGATAGTTGAAAAGTTACACACACACACACACACACACACACACACACACACACACACACACACACACTCACACTCACTCGTACCCTCACATATACCCCCTCTGTGGAGGGATTAACAGATTTGACCCGGCAGTGCTCACATTCTGAACAACAGCCATAATCTGCCACATTTATTATATTACATTTTCAGCCGTGAATCAGGTCAACTCATATAATCCCCCCCCCTTCACCTCTTGTCACGATACGAAAGTCGTCTGAAACCCGACATTGACCAATGGGATCTGTCTAAATATTGAAATCGAATGGAAGCCTTATTGAGAATCAGAATACATTCCGTACAGATTAAGGCTGTATATCTTTCATAATCATAATTGCTCGTAAACCGCTTGTTTAGATTTTTGCCAGCAATAATTTTTTTGTTTTGATAACGGATGTACTTAATCCTACTGGACATAAATCACCTCTGACTGAGGTGGATATATATTTTAGAAGGGAGGGGCGATATTGAGAACAATGACTGCTGTCCTTTTTTTTTACAATGAGCATAACAAATCTACAATATGCTGGTTTAAATAGTTAGTTATTGATCTGCAGCCAATAATTGATTAATGCATTGGTCGAGGGACTCATTTAATTGTGTCAAATAGGAGAAATATTTAGTTTCTATTGGGTTTTCCTACATATTTTTCAGTTTTTCACAACCTACAGGGCACTGATGTTTTCACTTGTTTTTATTTTTTAGACTAAAGGATTGACTTGTGTATGTAAAATTAACCACCAGAAACTAATCCATAATGAATAAATAAGTTCCAACCCTTGCTGTTTTATTAAAATGAATGCTTCTGTGATGCAGTGTCATAAGAAAACAGAAGCCTAATATTCTTTACTTGTTTATCCACTTGTTATTTATGGGGCGGTTAGTAATGAAATTCCTCTTAATTTTCAGGAAACCTTGCTAGCTTTTGAACAATTCAAATGGATTTGCATCACTATAGGATGTTATATATCAAATGTCAGCAACATTCATATCAAAATCAGCCCCAAAATCCAGTCTATGTCCTGCTTTGGTGTAATTGTTGGGTACCTTGACAGAGTGAACAGTGAGGGGTGGTCTTTATGAACTGAATGTGTATTATTTTCTGTTTTATTTTTACAGGGCTATTCCCTGATGTGGGAGGGGGCTATTTCCTGCCAAGGCTGCAGGGGCAGCTTGGACTATTTCTGGCATTGACGGGATTCCGTCTGAAGGGTCGTGACGTGCAGAGAGCTGGAGTCGCCACTCACTTTGTGGAGTCTGAGAAGGTACGATAGCTCCTGTCAGTAGATCAAACACTCCATCGCTCCGCCACCTTCACTGTCTGCCCTTCCTATGTCACCATATGTTTAAACCAATCAGTGCAGTATCTGCACTGCGCTCTGCACCAGCCGATTGGCGTGCAACTCCTTCACTGCGAGTGGGACCCCTCAACAAAAACTCACCCGTTTGCTTTCCTGGCCCCAAACTGGAGAGACGCTACCCACTGATATCAGCACAGCAGAAAACCCATCTGTTTTTACTGCAACTTGTCCAATAATTCAATTTTTTTTAATCTCAATACTTTATGTAGCACTTTGCTTATTGAAAGCTAATGTACCTGCAGGATTTAGCTTTTTGAGTTTTTATCTTCATGGTTGATATAAAAGACTGCATACAAACACTTGATGAGCCAGGATTTCTGATATACTTGAGCATACACGTGTGCATGGTATAGTGCAGCGTGGCGGTTAAAGGTCAACTGGTCACTGGCATGCTGAGTCACTGTGTGTCTCACTATTGTATAAAGGTGCCAACTCTCCCCGGCTGCTCCAAGTTCAGGCTGAGTTTGTCCTGCTGCTGGTGTGAGGTCAGAGCAGCGGGCGCCCGCAGCACAGTCGGTTTTGGATTGTGACCTTGATTTTCAGGACAGGGTGGAATTTTGACCAACACCAGGCTGGAGAATCATCTCTATATTTATAGCATCTTTGTGTTATTTTCTAAGTGAAGGAAAACTCAAATTAAAAACAGTTTTGGAGAATGCCAAGTGCACTTGCATTTTCCCAGTGCTGCCATATTAGTTAAAACCTGCACAGAAGAGAATACATTCTGACATTTCTTTTTTTTTTGTAATACTTTATTTTGAATTTTTCTTTTGGTTAAAATAAAGCAAAGACATACACAATATACAGTAAGTAGGTACCCGAAACCTTTAAATGGCGTACAAGAAAAAAAAGCTGGGTATACATTGACAATTCCTGAGAATAGTCTAAAGCTGCCAGTCGACAGCATCGTAGACATAAACAAAAAGGCCAAGGGTAAAAAAATAATAACTGGGGATGGATTGCCAAACATCAGACACAACTAGAACATGTATTTCCTGCTGAAAATGCATGTGAATGCTGTAAACTGTGTACATTTGTTGCTGAATTTTGCTGAAAAAGCTGAATATGTTATTAGTTGAATGTTTTCTGTAGCTGCTTTTAGCTACAAAAACCAAGTAAGTGTGTTGCTGAACTTAGCAGAGAAATGCAGAAAAGTGAAATGATTTGAATCAAAATTGTTAAAGCTAAAATGCATTGCAATGACTTTTTTGGAAACTTGAAAGTGAAATGTTAAACTGGAAGAGTAGGACAAATAGTGAAGAAGCTTAATATTTAAAAGAAAAGGTTTAAAAAAGGTATAAACAACAACATGTATAACCTCAATGTCCTGAAATAGCTGAATAATGTAATAGTTGAATGGTTTCTGTTGCTGAAAGTAGGCTGAAGGAGTTAGATATTAAATGTAAGTAGTAGTGAATGAATGTATATTAAGAAGAGAAAAGAAAGTAAAAAGGCTTTGAAAAGCAGCAGAATATTTTAACTGCAAACTTTTGAACTAAAACCATACGTCACCAATAATGTATAAATATGTGGAACGTGCTGAAGTCAGTATGAAGTCTCCATCAGACAGAAAATAATAGGCTGAGACAGTCTTTAAACTCCAGTCTGTTTGTCAGTGTTTGTTTCTGTGCTGAGCACCTAATCATAACACCTGTGTGTGAGCCCAGAGATCAAAGGTTTCCATGGAGATGTGCTGTGAAAGGAGAGCCTTTCCAATGTTCTGAATGAGAAATAAACCTCTTACATTTCTAACGATAGCAAACAAAAACGGTAGCTGCTTTCGTAAAATGACAACGCGTGGAGGATGTCAGGACCGTGAGGAGCGTCGGAATCTGCTGTTTGTGTACTTTCGGATCCATAATGTGGCATTTTTGGCAGATTTACTAAAGGTGTGCAGCTGCTGCTCTGAGGACAGATCAGGCTTGATGTACAATGGGCCTTAATGTAGACAAGTTGAACGTTTTTGTCACTTTATGTCCTCAGGAGGCATTTTGTTTAATTTTTGTTCTTAATTTTTCAACGTATGAGAGGTTTTCCTACGTTTTTCACAACAAATGATGTCCAAGGATTGTAGGTTTTGGGAATTATGGCAGTTTTAAAAAAGAATTTAAGGCGAATTTCAAGCTCTCCTCCACTCTCATCATGCACTCTAAGCCTTAACGAGCTGCGCAATACACACTCATGTTAAAATCTGAAGAAGGCCTCTTTACCAAGCTCCAAACTAAGTTAAATATCTCAAAAACTGTAAAAAGTATAAAAGATCTGAAGAATAAGTTTTATAGCTGAAAATAAGTGTGATAACAACCCTCATCTGTCGCAAATGGGGGAAACAGATTTCATTTCTTACTTAGCTTGGTTTTAGAGTAGTGAAGCCTATGTAGGACTTTAAACTGAATTAATCTGTGTTTAGAATGTATAGAACAATTATGTATACTGGACTGTCCCTCTCCCCATAGCTCAGAAATTCTGACATTTCTGAAGAGGATTAGTCAGTTCTTCAGAGAGTTTCCTCAGTGAGAAGTATTGACTGTGGTCACCATGATGTCACACAATTCCTTCTTTTTTTTTCAATTTAAGGCTCAGGAAAATAAATGTAAAAATTAAGGAACTTTAATTGGATGGAAGAAAGCATAGCTTATTAACAAAAAAGCCCTCCTGAGAGTTAACCAATAACATTGTTTTGGAACAAGCTTTAAAACGTTTAAAACATTTTTATTTAACCTGTTCAACCCTGAGCCTGTTTTTCAGGTCTCAGGCTCGAAAATGACATTCCCAGAACAAATGACCATATCTTCCCTTCTAAAAGGGTTACATTAATAATCTTTGTTCTCAAAGTAATGATAAACCTGTGAGTTGGATGTAGAAAAGTCAGAATCAATATAGATGTTTTTTATTTTAAAGAAAATTCAAATTGAACATGGTAAAAAACTGTAAATTATAGTGTCCGTCCAAAAATTCTTTTTTACTTATAGTGAAAACTAACCTTGAATGATGGGTTAGTAGACTAAAAGCTTTAGGAATCCAAAATACAACATATAATAAGTACCCTGTATCAAGATTGATGCAAAACAATTGAAATTTGACCTTTTTAGAGAGATTTAGCACACAAAAACACTTCTGGGGCCATTTGGGTGGATTTTCCATATCTCTGGCCCCCCTTGGGCGATTTTGACGAATGAAATCTCTTTATAACCGCTAGAGCCAATGGAATCGAGGGAAAGTTATACACACACCAACACGTTACCAAATGAGGAGTGAGAGTGACGCGTGGCCAAAACCGGAAGCTGCATACATGGTTGGCTACCATTAGCAGCTAACTTTTTTTTCTCCGATTTTTACAAAAAAATTAAATTATGGATTATAAATATTTTTTTCAAAGCGACAGACACATTATTAACCTATGGATTAAGCGATTCAGCCGCGTTTTTTCTCGTTTTAATGCCATTGAACACGTCTTTTGATCAGATTGACAGCTACGGTGAGACGATCTCCCGAAAAAGCTCCGTAAAGGTACGTGTTGTGATGTCTACTTCCCCTGTCCCGAGTTCGGATCGCTCAGTGATGATACTATACCTATATAATCTGTGGAGTCTCAGCTTTAATCGGATATATTGTATGTGCAGTTACGATAATAGTAATAAGGGTATCTTTATCTTGAGTTCTGTGCCAAAGTCAGTTTGCATTTTTTCGCTCAGGGGTCATTTAGACGCTTCTTATGAGACTTGTGTTTTGTTTTGGTAAAAATGGTTCATATCTTCAGTTAGCTGAGATTCTTCCCGTTAATCTGGTGCTACACATTAATAGTTTAATAAATGTTAAGAAGCTGTGACACACAGTCTCGAAAAAAAACGTTGGCTTAACAGGTTTTAAAGGTGACATGTCATGCTTTTCCGGTTATTACCCGTCCCCTTGTGTGTTATGAAGGTTTTTATGCATGTAAACGGTGTGCAAAGTCAAAACCCTCAAAGTACACCATGTAGCGAGTAAAACTCTAAAACAGAAAATACCTCCCCAAAACGCCTCGTTGGAGATACGTCACTGTCCATTTGATTCTTCCGGGTACATCATGATGTCATGTCGTCCCCGGAACGAAATGGACCATACCGGGGAGCCGTTACGTTACGTCCGCGGAGCCGTTACGTTAAGCCCCCGCTGATTGGTCCAAATTGACCAATCCACGGACTTCCTCACTCACTCAGTGCATGCAGCTCTGCTGATTTCTCCTCCCTGGCTGCAGGCTGATAACAGACAGTTGGGATCGCAGCGAAATTCTCTCTGCAGACCCATTCTCACAGCGTTTATCAACCTTTTTCTTACTCAATATCAAGCCACACTTATTGTTTTTACTTCGGCCGTGACTTTGTGTGTGCTCAGGGTGAGTTTGGCTGTGTTTCGCTGTGTATCGCTAAACAAGGAAATCACACCTCCACGGAGCTCAGCGCGATTCACAACGTCCCGACTGGTCCCTACCAATCGGAGCACACTGGGCTCACAGGGAGGGGGGGCAAGAGCTGCAACGAGCCGTTTAGTGGAGAGTGTGAATACTGCTGAATACACATACTTTACAGAGATGCTGTATGCGAAACCAATGTGAGTTTGGAAAATTGCACAGTATAAATCTATTCTAGTAGACCTCAACAATGGAATTATGAACAGTGGAAATGGCCATGACATGGGACCTTTAAGGTCTCAAGGTAAGGATTGAACAAAGTCATGTACAGAGGCTGAAATTGTAATGCAAAACATGAGAAACAAGAGAAAAGAGTTCATATAGAGTCCAGACTTGATTGTGGGCTGCCATAAAGCCTCGAGTCGGGCCTTTTGGACGTCACCATCTGTGTTTTTTGGAGACAGAAGTGATTATATTTTATTTTAAAAATGATGGACTGAATATAGCCTAGTTGTTTGTAAAAACAAACACAGTCCACTGCACACAAACATGCAGATTTAGAAAATGTCCTGCCTTTATTTGAACAGATCCCGGAGTTGGAGAAGGAGCTGGTGGACCTGAAGTCTCCCTCTGCTGAAGACGTGTCCAGAGTGCTGGACTCCTACCAGAACCAGGTCAGAACCCAAACACGTGTACCACTGACATTCAACTACAAATATCCAGAGCAGCTTCAGTAGGCACAGAGTTTCCGATGGTCTGTTTTCCTGTGAACGCCTCGCATGATGATGGCAGATGATGGCAGATGATGGTTCTCTCCACAGAGCGCTCTGGGTGCTGACAAGCCTTTCGTGTTGGAGCAGCACATGTCTGACATTGACAGGTAGGCTTCAGTTCCTCTTCTCTGTTACTCTGAGACTATTGTGAGCTGTTGGTTTGGTATTCCTTCAATATCTGTATTTATTTCTATACTATTAACTTTAAATATAGGAAACACCAGAGGCTGTACATGACGGCATATGCATTTAAAACATATTTGACTTCATTACAGATAATTAACCCTCCTCGTGCTCGTTTTGAAATATGATATAAATCCTTTTTTTTGACAATTGAGCTAATACTTATCTCTACAGTTATTATAATAAATACTTTGTTGGATTGGGACTATTTGCGGGTTTATTGCCTTAAGGGCCTTATGCTTTAAGGATAGACTTATAAGACACTGAAAGCGGGAAGATGTGTTATTGAGGAAACTTTTGATGCCGAATTACAGTGTTAACCCCCCCCCCCCCCCTTCAGGCTGTTCAGCTCCAGCAGTGTGGAGGGCATCGTGCAGAACCTGAAGGCAGACGGCTCAGAGTTCGCTAACAAACAGGCAAAGGTACAGTATGATGATTTATATTCAGAACTCGTCATTTTCAAGCTGTAGTAGCGAAACAATGACCAGTTTACAGATAATGTAATAGAATGTAATTACGCTTTGCTAATGTTACATTTTTGGAAATGTAAAGAAATATTCTTTTTATCTCATAAGTAATATGTTCAAAAGGATAATGTTATCATTTCATGTTGTCCTACTGTAAACACTGACACAGATTTCATGCTTGGACATGTTTACTCGTTGAGGGTGAAAAGTGCCATGCTTATTTTGAAATGACCCACCAGAAACCTTATCGGTAAGAATGAGAAACAACTAAACAACCTCTGAAAATGGCCACTGGCAACCATGACTGCTGAATTTTTGTTTGTTGTTTATCTCGTTTTTTTGTTTTTTTTTCGCTCTTTTATTATTTGTTCCTTCCTCTGGTCTATAGGCCTACAGTGACCGACCCGTGCAAACGCCCTACAACGGCCAAAACACTTCCATTAGGAGAACCGCGCTGCAGTTTCAGAAACGAAGCGGAAAAAAATAAAAATAATTCCAAAACATGCAAAAGAAAAAACATCTTCACCAACTTCACAACACATGTGGAGCACTTAGAAAACAATCACCAGCTTGAGAACACATGCGCAACTTTATAATCCCAAAATGTCACCAAGCGCTCACAGTTTTTTTATTTGATTTGTTTTTTAAACTGCATCATGTATTTCCTAATGGGAATGTTCTGGACCGTTGTAGTGTGTTGCCATCACAGTTCTGGGCTACAAAAGTCACAAGCTAGCATGTGTTGAATATACACATACAAACTCAATAAATATTAAAGTTTAAACCATAAGATACGACAATATCAGTTAGGAGTTTCTATTACACTTTTGGTCAATTTATTAACATTTTTCAAGAGATTGTGACACTGGGTGCTTTACCGATTCTTCTTTTCTCTGATTTAGTTTATTACATCGTCTTCACTCAGTTGAGATGTAACCTAGTAAAAGGGCGTATAATCTTATGTAACAGTGCACATGCCCCAGCTTACACCCCCCACCCCCTCCAGGATTAATCATACTGCTGGTATCTCTTATTTTCTGTCTATTTGATCTGTAATATTTAAAATATGTTCATGTTGAAGAACTGATCTGATGCTTAGCTTAAATCCCCTGCTGCTTCCCTTCAGCTGGGTTCAACAAACATGTTTTCCTGTTTTCATTCAAACCGTGAAACTCTGAACAAGAGCCAGTGGGGGTCAGCTCAGGCATCAAATATTTATTATAAACCCACTTCCTCAGTTACTACTACACCACTGACTCACTGTCCCGCCTTGTGCATTAAACATTCATAACTGTCTGTCTTCTTTCCAGTATTATTGTATATTATATTATATTTGTGTCACCACCTCTCTGTCTGAGTCTCTAACACAGAAGTGTCTCCTCCTGCAGACGCTGTCCAGGATGTCCCCCACCTCCCTGAAGATCACCTACAGACAGCTGCAGGCGGGGGCCGCTCTGAGCCTGCAGGACGTGCTGGTGATGGAGTATCGGCTGAGCCAGGCCTGCATGGTAAAACCCAAAACACTCATTTCCAGTTAATTCACTCGTTCATAATTGGGTAAGATTGGCAAATGATTGCATTCATTAACGTATTGATTTGCATTTATTTTCATAGTTTAAATGTCAGTTTTAATCATTTTAAAGGTACAGTCACCCAAACATTTCAGAAAATCATATTTGTAATATAACCTCTAGTGCTGTTTCTATATTTATTGATTTTGTAATTTTATTTTCACTAATCAACAACATAACAGCTTTGTAATCTACCCCCCAAATATCCCATCACCATTTTTTTAAAGTTTTTAAATGTATATAAATCTTAATATAAACTCAATGCACATACAGTCAGTTAATTATTTCTTGTTCTTGAGTTGTAAATGTAACATTCATTTTCTTGGTAAATGTTTTAAAGAACTTTATTTATTGAAGGGATCTTTTATGACCCGTTAAAGTTTGTTATCAGTGGTGCCTCTGATATGAAGTGCATGTTGTAAACTCAAAGTGTAAAAACATTAGATTTTAAAAATCAAGAAGCCATCACTCGGTTACTCACGATAATGATAAATGAACTGTACTTATATTGCGCTTTATCAGGTATTTACGACCCCTCAAAGCGCGTCACATACTACCAGTCATCGTTCACACCTCCCTCTCACAGAGCAGTGTACCTGCTCAAGGCTGCGGGATTAACTCGGGTCCAGTATTTTGCCCAAGGATACATCGACATGTTGATCGCAAAACGCTGGGAACGAACCGACCACCTTCTGATTGAAAGACGACTACCTCACAGCCACAGTCGCCCCACTTATCCAATATATACTGTTTGTAGTCCAAATGATCATTGTTTTTAATCATAACACCTTGTTGTGAGCATTCTAAAATAGGAAATATTTTCCTTTTACTGTATTACCTCGCAGCAGGAAGAGCGCCACTCAGAGGCTCCCTCACTGGCGAGTGTAGTTTGGTAGAAAGAAAGTAGTTCCTACATGAAACAATCTCTGCAGATTATCATCAGTAACTGGATCATGATTTCTAGATAAAGACATTGCTGATCAGTTTTTAAAATGAAGCTTTTGAGAACAACAACTTTAGTGCCATATAGTTTTATTATACTGCTGAGAGGTCAGACTGGAAGATATCTCCAACATTCAGTGACTCACACTAATCTGAATTGATCAAATGTATTTATGATTTTGGGATGAACCGTCCCTTTAATATCAGTGATACTGACATTAAACTCTTAATACAAAGTTATATTTTTTAATGAATGCAATTCCGGTGCCTTAACTGGCAGAGAAATTGCTTATGCTCCCATTCCTATCCTATCATTTTTCTTTTTTAAGTGAAAAATATAAAAACAAAGCTGGATGATGATAATAGCACAGCTGTTTTAGATTAGCTATTATTTCATCTGCTGGAGTAAACCATAAGAGGATTGAGTCTCATGGGAGTGTTTGTTGTTTTGCAGAGAGGCTGCGACTTCTATGAAGGTGTGCGATCCGGTAAGTCACTGCAGTGAATTTCAGTTTAGCATAGTTTAACATGGATTGCACTATTGATTTTAAAGGGTTAAGAAAGAATCATTAAATATTATTCTGCATTGCTTGACATCATTTGATTCTTTTTTACGTTGTGATTTTCTTTGTGTCTCCAGTGCTGATTGACAAGGACCAGAATCCCAAGTGGAACCCGTCCACACTGGAGGAGGTGTCGGAGGAGAGCGTGGAGCAGTGCTTCTCCTCTCTGGGGGAGAAAGACCTGACGTTCTGATGCTGAACACTTCATACCCCCCCCCCCCCTGTGTGCTCGGCCTTCTGAGAGGGCTGTACTGCTCTGGAGATAAAGAACTACATAAACTTACGTACTCTGACTCTATATCTTTAAATACTGTACTGACATTTTACAGGAAAATCCAGGCTTCTCCTCTGCAGTGGAGGAAAAGAGAAGAAGGTCTGATTCATGTTCACAAATCTAAAATAGTAGTTGAAGAGGTAGTGAGCAGCTGCCCTGTGTCACACATGAGAAATGTTTGGAGTAAACTGGCTCTGCAGAGTGTTTTGTACAGCAGTAACTCTCTTTTGCTGCAAATGCAAGGGATGTGCCGCACAGCAGCATAAACAGGAATACATGGAGGAGCGATGATCTCACCGCTGAGTGCTTTATTACATTTCCTGTGGGTGTTTGTTGATGTGACTTGGATCCGTTTCATCTGATCTTCTGCAGTGTGGTCACTGAGTCTAATGCAGATCATCTATCCATTTCTCCCGTTTGTTTTGTCTTTTTCCAGTATTTATCCATTTTCAGTGGCATATTTAGAAGTGTATCAGTGTTCTGAAGAGGGCTGCATGATTTGAAATAAATTACTGATATAGCGACTGCAATATAGGAGGGATTGATCATTTTATCATTATTATTCCCTTTAGCATCGAAAGATTTATTAAAATGATCATGATTTGATTATTTTTTTCCTCACAAATATGTGTTGTTTAGTCTAGAATACTATTTGGAGGCCAGGATATCTCCGCATCTCATTAAAATGTTATTTTAACATATATTTAACCTTTAACCAATATTGTGGTTCCTGCAGTTTGAACATCAAGCTAGTCCATGTTGTGATTTCGATACAATTCCAATTAATTGCGCAGCCCTATTTCTGGAGGCATTAACATGATTGTTATATGACAAATACAGTTCTGTATGTGTGTGATAGTTTGTGTTTTTAAAGTTGACTAAATCCCTGTTTTTCAGTAGGTATCCCGATACATTACAAGCGGGCAATAAAGACAGTTGGTAATGTAACATGAAGTTTTCTTGTTGAGTGTGTGAAAGAACTTCATTTATTCATGCTGGGTGCTTTATGACCTGTTATAGTTTGTTATCAGCAGCGGCTCAGATAAGAAGTCTACAAAGGAAACTTTTATTGCAGTTGCATGTTGGGTAATAAACCTTTAGTGTTGGCAACAGTTTTCTCTACCTGCATCACATTTAGTCTGACTCTATTACACTTATTTTAATTAGCCTCTTAGGTGTGAGCAGGAAATGAGAGTAACAGATTACATGTAACAGGATACTAAAAACGGTATCTGTATTCCATTACAGTTACAGAAAAACTATCTAATCAGATTACTGTTACAATTTAAAATAATTAAATTACTAGCAGGATTACAATTCTAAAATACATTTTTAAAATAAAGTACCAAATATTATGAAACGCACACATGTATTTGTTCTTTGTAAACTTTAGTTTGTGTTTTGCACTTTCATTGTTGACTAATGTTTGAAAATGCTAATAGAAAGGACGTTTGATTTAAAATATCTTGTTTTTTGACGTTACATTGCTCCTTTGTCTTACAGAATACACTTCAGTAAAGCTATCTTATTGATATTAATGTTCTATTGTCCTAATTTGACATTAATGTAGACAAAAAGTTATTACGCTACTTTAATTATGTGATTAGGTTACTGATAAAACATTTTTTAACAGGTCATTTTAACGGACAACATTTTTAGTAACCCTCCCACTCTGTTTGTGTTTCATATTCGAGCAGCAGTGAGACAGTCTGACGTCCACCAACCCAGTCTCACGGCATTTCGTGTTCACCAACACGATTTTTAATCTATTGATTCGTGTTCACCAACACGATTTGCCCCTTTTTTTCGTGTTGCACAGCACGATATTAAAAGCAATGTATTTCTACTGCCTGCAGCACGTCTTTTTCTCCGGTCGGGTCGAGGAAGACCGGAAGCTGTGTGGTTCATAAAAACATGTTCTTACCATAGAGGTTCTTACTCAATATCAAGCCACAGTTATTGCTTTTATTTGAAATCGTATAATTTCGGACTTTTGTTGCCGTCTGTGAGGAAAATAAATGGAGCTCAGAGCCTCAGGATACTGAAATCTGTATTTTTAAAATATTTTTTTCCTTCTAATTTGTTATTCTTTTCAAAATAACACACTGTTATTTACTCACCAATAACACACAATTATCCTTGCTTTTATTTATTGGTTTAATTCCATAATCTCGGGCTTTTTTGGCGTCCGTCAGGAACTGAATTTCAAAATAAAAATAACCGGAAACAGACATAGGCATTTCGAGCGATTACCCAAGATCCTCAGCTATGGTTTTAAGCTCGTTTATTGGATGTTTTAGCCGCAATGCATGCTGGGATTTGGTGTTTATATGATATGAAATCCGGAAAACATTTTAAAAGAATAAAAGAATACTTAATTCCGAGCGCTCTTGCTTTTCTCTTTAAAAGTCATCACATAACGGCATTGTAATACACGGTTCGGCTGCATTGTATATTACAGATCTGCCGTAGTTCTTTATTTATAGAGCCCTGATGAGAAGCCCTTTGGAAAAACTGAGAAAATGCCGCCGAAACTGAATACTTGACGTGGATCATAAATATATTCAACAATTAAACAACATCTTCAATTTCTCTTCACACAATACGTCTCCTTGCAATATCAACACTAATTCGGCTGACTTTTACATTTGATCTAATTCACAGATAGGTTATATTTACACCATAACGGTGCACAGCTGATATAAAAGGACTGTAGTTTTTAAAGATATTACTGATTTTCTTTGAATGTAAGAATGTAAATACTGAGTCGGAAATAGTATAGCAATATGCTGTAAAATTATGTGAAAGCATGCATAAAACTACACATTTTCAGATGTTGTACGAAAACAAAAGTGTCCTACACTAATAATACAAAGTTATTATGGCTGTGTGTACCTTGTGTGCACCGCCTAGTGGTTAAAGCACGTTATTGAATTATTGTGTTTTATTTGATTGAACAAATATTAAGAGTACATACTTTCATAGGGTATAGTATAAATATAGAATATAAAAAATCAAGAAGATACTATAAGTGATCTCTACAATAAAACAGTTTAGTGCAGAATGTACAAAGATATTAATAGGAGGAGGTGCAAAACAGAAAAACGAATTAACCTTTATTTAAACATTAAATAACAGATTAAGGTCTTCTTTTAAATAAGAAAAAAACGTTGGGGGTATCTATCTACAGATAAATATTAAGCCTGACAAAGTACTTAACGTCTAATATATTGCTTTCCTGCAATGTTAACTATGTTGAAGCACTTATTTTAACTGATATTATACATATGAATTAAACTCTTATGTATGTAGATAGAATAAGAAATGTGCAGAATATGACAGTTTAATGGTGGAGGTACACACATATTGATAGATGTCTTGTAATGCACTGTTGAGGAACCTGTAACCCAAGTGTTTCATTCATTGCATAACTACACCGTAGTTGTGTATATGATATGTCAATACACCTTTGAAAATCTTGAAAGGGATGTGCAAAATAGCCATAATATACAGTCTTTAATGAACTATTAGTAGAGAATAACGAGTAATGAATATACTTTATTACTCGTTTCCATTCATGTCAATTGCAGATACATGTTTAGTCTTCTCAAGCACCAACTATCAAATATCTCTCCTGATTGTTGGCACTTGACAATCACCTTACCTGAATTTTACTCAGGTGTAACTAAAGTCTGATTTAAGGGTTGTTTATATTTCACATAATTAATCAGAATCTGCAAAGTAACTCAAATAAATGCAGTGGAGTAAAAATACCAGATTAACCTCTGAATTGTAGTGGAGTAGAATTACAAAGTAACAATGAGCTGTCATGTGGGTATTAATGCTGCGCATTATGGATCTATTATGGACCAATTTACGCATTTTATATATACAGTCTATGTTTATGACCAACGAGCTGCCATAAACAGAGACTGTTCCTGTCTGCGTCACAGACAAACTCCTCTGCTTCAAACAGCCGCTGGCCAGCAGTCTCTTGTAAATCCGTCGGTTGCTCTTCATCAAGCTGAACTTTAAACCGGTTTGTGTTCACTCAACAGGACGCAGCAGGTGTTATAAACAAACACTGTAAGGGGACACTCAGGTTGGAAGCACCTCAGAGAGGTTGTTCGGTAGCCGTTTAGTAAATAATCTCCAGGTACTCCAATGAAAGAAGGCATAAATCCGATTTATTGGCATCAGTTTTCACACATACTGTATGTACAATAAATGAACATAAGTCACACCTTTTAAGTTATTAATGATGATATGTTCACAGGCCGATGTGTTTCATTTTACCGCTGATTCCCAGGGGGCATTTCTCACTCCTTTGGCAGCAGATAAGAGTGTGAAGAGAGCAGGTGAGTCCTGCCCCTGCTTATCTGCGTGTGTTCCTCTTTATAGACAGCCACACTCCCCTGCTGCTGTCTTTGGGTCACTGTAAAACACAGAGAAGTATCTGTTTCTGGCTAATCGTGGCCTGACTTTAGACAAGCTTCTTGAAACTTTGATATAATAAAAGGATTAGGACATTGTTTAAAAAATGTTCACAGATCAGTCAATTGCTTGAATTTTCCAAATAGGGTTAGTAATGTAGGTTAACAGGTTAAATGTTACTGTTGGTGTGGCTGCCAAACATCTGATAAGCAACTATTGAAACAATAAATCGATTGAGAGAAAACAAATTGCAACTACTTGTAATAATCAATGATTTGTTTTGATAGTTTCTAAGCTAATGAATTGATGCTTTGTTGTCATATATTTTAGTAAACTTAACATCCATGGGACGTTAAAGTTGTTAAGTTAAAGTTAAAGCCTTTTATTGTATTATAAATCAATTGTTGAATACAATTTGTGACTGTTTTTCTATGATATGTCAGAAATCGTTGAACCAGCTATTCTGACATTTTATAGACACAGTTATTAGAGGGTTAAGCCCTTATTTAATTGACTAGCAAAGGCAGACCCTGCGCCTCCTGATGAATACGTCCTAAATGTTGGTGGCATATTTACCAGCATCTCCCATCTCTGTGGAAACACCTGCTGGTATTAATCATTAAAGATGTGTGACCTTTAATATAACAAATCACGGTTCCAATAAAGAACCGCAGTGACGCGTCCTAAAACCCGGATGTAAACTCCTTCCGGTTCCTTCGTCAAAAACGTAATGCAATTTCTCCATAGGATTTTGGAAAATAGCTCGAAATAAGGTCTGTGGTTGTTCACGTTTTGTTCAGTCGGATAATATCCACATGTCTATCCTACTTTTATAATTTTCGAAGCATAAATCTAGTCGCAAGAAGCAAAATGCTAACGTTATGCTATAAAGGAACTACAGCAGGGTCGCTGCTTCAACGTCACGCCAATTTAAGATCCATATTCAAACATACAGATTGTAAATGGGTCATTCTACAGAAAAGGTGGAAGTGCTGTCACTTACTTTTGCAGACACCAAAATACATGACGTTGACCTAATACTCACATTCATTATATATGTTGAATAAATAGAGATTGTCTTTGCAATGGTTCTAAATAAAAAATAAATAAAAAATGGTTTTATACGTAAATTGCAATTTATTTAAAATGCCAAGTTCAAGGAACTGCCTTGTCACTTTGATCCAATAAATAAATCTAATTTATATTTACATAACATTACAAGCATTAAATATAACACTGAAATGGTAAAAAAAAAACGCTAATTATTATTAATAATATCAAATAAATGTCAGTCACCCCAAATTACGTCATTGGTGTTACTGCTACACAAAACGCTTTTATTGTAACGAGATCATTTGAGGCAGTGCAGTGGACAAAGACATAAGGAAAGTCAGATACTTCTTACTTTGTTTGTTAAAGGTGTCATTTTATCTTCAAATTTGACATGCGTCTTTCAAGTCTGTCATTAGTGTTACTCATTGCATAGCCCTAGGGGTGAACATTTGAATGGGAAAATGTATTGTATTGAAGAGTTAAACGATTTTGATATTGAATGAAGCCACATTTGGTCTGACACATTGCAGCCATTTTGTTAAAATTGTAGTGTTTTCTCCAAATTGTCACTGGTGTTACTCTTCTTCCTGGTAACATGTAACACCAGTGACATTCCTATACAAATAAGCTTTGTATAAAGTATAAAAATAATTAAAAAAAACAAAAAACTTTAAGCTCTACTTGTTGTGGATTCATCAAGTTAAGAGTTAGTTATTGCTATTTAACAGGTTTGAGATGTTTTTAGAAGGAATATATTTCAGCAGATTTGTATCACCCAGATTCCACCTTTTCTGTAGAATGATGACCCAAATGGTACAAGTTGAAGTGTTTGTTTGAACAGTTTGCAGGAGGCAGGTACTTGCTTTCAAGCAGAACAGGGCAAACAAACTTAGCGGGAGTGTTTTACGTGTTCGGTGTAATGCATAGGCGGCGCGTGAGGCTCAGGTTTGGGAAGGCTAAATCGCTTTTTTTTACCTGACGCTGCCCGCCTCCGGCGTCTATAAAGAAATCAACTCAGTGAAAGCACCGCCTGCTGACCAATCAGAGCTCAGTGTGCGGGGTTTAAATCTCTCAAGTCATATTACAGGATAAAGGAAATACAGAAAAACTGCCGTATGCAGAGAAGACGCCGACGTGTCGCACTTATCATTCATATCACATCATCAATCAGATCATCGATCATATAATATATTATTTCCTTATCTGAGTCAGCTTCTCGAGCCGTATCTGGCCGTGCAACACTTACAGTGTCACATATATGCAGATTTATTATTTTAAGCAACACATTAAGTTGACGAAACACTCAACTCAAATGTAATTAAAGTCAGATCCACTCGTGTCTTAGATGGGGCAGTATCATAAAACTGTTGTACTCTTTCAAACACTCTGTAGTTTATTTATTAACCAGTTGTTCTGTATTCACCTTGCAGGTGCAACTCTGTGGCTTGTATCCTGGATTATATGTTTAAGTCATGGATGTTTAAAGTTCATATTTGTCTAATATTAGTTTACTTTTCATTAATGAAGTATGACGCTGCGCTTTCAGTACACTTGTCCCTGTTTATGATTGGTCAAATGTTGCTAACCCCGCCCCTTTCATGTGATCGCGCTCTCAGCTGGAGAGAGAAACCCTGGCTTGATTTACCAAGTTGATAACCAGCGTCGTAGGACCGCTTAGCGAGATCTCGTTTGTTAGGGTTAGTGAAGATAACTCAAACATAACCAGGGTCTGTTGAACTGGCTTCGTAGAACAGGGCACAGGTGGCTGCATAGCAGCGCTAATGTCAAAGACACAAACATTATACATTATATTTTTATTTTACCAGGATGCGACAAAAATATTAGGGAAGGCTTAGCCTTCCCTAGCCTACAGTACCCGCCGCCCCTGGTGTAATGACGTAAAACGGCCTGGACAACTTCTGTATTCCTATTCAGCCACTTGTTAACAACCATCGTTTTTCAGACACGCAAACTCTTCAAAAATCACCAGCTGATGTCACTGCTGATGTATTTAATGTCGTAGAACAAATCGTGATCTGTCTCTTCAATTTGTGTCAAACACAGACCTTATTTGGAGCTATTTTCCAAAATCCTATAGAGAAATTGCATTGCTTTTTATCGAAGGAACCGGACGTGGTAAAAATGCTAACTTACTTCCGGGTTTTAGGACACGTCACTGCGGTTCTCTATACGGAAGCATAGAGAGCCGAAGTCCCTCCCTTTCCGGTGGAACTCCATGGGACCTTATTTCGGAATGCATTGAAGTCAATGTCAAGAGAAAAGTTATCTTTCGATCCCGTTAGAATTGGGAATATTTATTTTTCTCTCTATGAACCCTCCAGGGCTCCGTCGAATTGTGCCATGAATTACACATAGATGTTTGTCAATTTAAAAGATAATTTTGCAAGTCAAAAAATATATATTGTCGTAAAACTGTGAAGTAACACTTTTTTTTGTGTGAAACCGCTCAATGTACTACATCTCTGGTCTCGCACAATACACGTCACCACCTATGGTCACCACACACCAAGACGGCCGTCACGTTAGCACATTTCACCTCTTTCTTTCAGAATGAGGCGAAAAGTATTAAACGAGGAGAACATCACTACAAGTCTGGGCATGTTGAGAGCTGTATATACACACAAGGGGAGTTAGTCGGTTCCGTGAGAGGTGAGTGTTAAATGAGTGTAACGTTAATGTCAGCTAGCAAGGTACACTCGTGTTTTGTTTTAGCAACTAGTTTTCTCCTTAATAACTGCGTGATCGCTGTGTATGCTGTGGATAACATGGCAAGGACAAGGTAGCCTACGCAGAAAACTAGTTGCTAAAACAAAACACAGGAGTGTACCTTGTTAGCTAATGTTAGCTAGCTGACATTAACGTTACACATTACACTCATTTAACACTCACAGAAACCTTGTACAGCCGGTCCTGCATGCTGGCTCTTACGTCCTTTTGTGTAATAGCAGCTCTCAACATGCCCAGACTGTAATGATTTCTACCTCATTTAATACTTTTCACCTCATTCTGGTGTTGGTGATGTGTATTGTGCGAGACCAGAGATGTAGTTCATTGAGCGGTTTCACAGACAAATAAGTGTAACTTCAAAGTTTCACGACAAACTGTGACTTTTTTTACTTGGAAAAGATTTGTTAAGATTGACAAACATCATAGGCTATGTATAATTCATGGCACAATTCAAACGGGATCGAAACTTAACTTGTCTCTCGCCATTGACTTCAATACATAATCTTTCCGAAATAAGGTCCCATGGAGTTCCACCGGAAAGGGAGGGACTTCGGCTCTCTATTGGCAGCCTTTCAATGGCCGTTTCTCAATGTCGAGTATACCTGCTGCAGAGCCACTATTTAAAGTATACTACGTCATCGAGTGGTGCCGAATGCTGGGCATTTAACATGCATTTAAACAGTCCTTGAAATAGTGGCTCTGCAGCAGCTCTACTCGACATTGAGAAACGGCCAGTCAGTGGTAAAAGCCTCAAAAGGAAGACGGATGTTGGATGAAGACAGGCGTTCACAGAGAAGCTGATTGTAAACCGTTTCTTTTTTAACACTAACGGCTGTTGAAGGAAAATCTAATACAAATCTCAGACCTGATCTTTGCAAGAGTTACAGAAACTGAATCTTTTGTGAACTTTTAAACTTTTAGCAGTGATCACATCACAGTAGAGCCTGATATCAATCAATTTAGATATATAGCATAAGAAATAAATGTGTCGTTTTAAAATGACCCATTATCCTCTAGCATGTGGACTATAAAACTGACCCAACGTCCACACTCTCTTCACACTGCCACCAGCTCTTGTGCTATTGAAACAGGCCTTTCGTTTTATTTGAACTCAAAATGTACAGAACACAACAGACATTCACCTTTATCATTTGATGTAAAGTTAAACAAATGGCCTCAGATTAAGCATGAGGAGTATGGCGGGTCATCCCTAATCTCCAGTGTGTTCACAACATGTTTGGGACAACCCTAGCAGATTAATCTGTCAATGTGGATTATGTTTTAGGAGTTGATAAGAGTGATGTGTGTGGGGAGGCGATCATATGAAGTTTTTTTGGAGAAATAAATCATTACCTTGTGAACCCATTAATAGAGATAGCATGTTAGCACTTCCGAGCTCCCTTGTGTTGAAGTCAATGTTTTTTTAATTACTTTTTGTTATGATTCCTGAAATAAGATATGTGGTCAACACACGATGTCTTAAGCTTTTTTACGTGTCTCAAAAATGTTGGTTACTATCAACTGGCTAATTGAGACTTCTAAACGTCATCACGTCGAACATTAGCCACTTTTAGCTTAGCGGAGGTGAAGTAAAGATGGAGCAAGATTTGTATTTGCTTATTTGTTATTTCTGGCGATTGCATTTGTGCTTCTATTATAAAAGTGGTGTTAATATGTGGAGCATATCTTGCAGTATATCATAAACGTGTGTTTGCCACAGAGATTATTTCCTGCATATAATAAAATCCAATGGAGAAATCTCATTGCTTTTTGTTGAGGAAGCTCTTGCAATTTTAATGTACAGGTCTGCCTACAGAAATACGTCCTCACTGCACCCTCTATGATGCTGCTCTTCACTAAAATAAGCATTTGACATCTGCAGTAGTTAGATTTCCCAAATACAATCTGTGACAACTGTGTGATACCTTGTTGTTTGCCAGTTTTCTGTCAATCCAGTAACTAACGGAAAAGGCAAGTGGAGGGAAAGACTTCCACCACTGTTTTATATGGCTTATTGGCTTGTGTTGGAGTATTTACTTGCAATTTGTATTTCTATTATGCATCATACTTATAATACTTTATAATCTGTTTATAGCACTGTCATATAGTTATGAGCACCCATAAATATGAATACAGCTTGATAACAATAATAACACATTATAATGCATTTGCTGATGACTTTTATCATTATACTTTATAAATACTGCTCACTCACTGACTCTTTTTTTGTAAGTACAATAATAAATTCCCATTGTTGCGAAACATTATAATGCTCGATCTGTTATCTATCCTGAGGAATAGGCAGATATAATATATTACAAGCTGCTTAAAAGTTATTTTAAAATAGTCTTTTTCTTTAAGGTATGTAAAAAAGTCTAAAGCTTAATGAGTGACCGGCATTTCAAAAATCTTATTTTGATACATGACCTTAATCATTAGAAAATGCTTTATGTGCGATGTTCATTGTCTTAAAGCATTATGAATATTCACAAGGACTTTTGACCTAATAATACAGTGCTATAAGCAGATTAAAAGTGTGATTAAAAATGTTTTATAGACATTGAAAGTATTCTCATATTCACTGATTCCTACTGCTGTAATGATATTTAATAATTGTGTGGCAGTTTAAGTGTGTCCTCTATCATGTGCAGTACAGACAAGCTAGCAATAATAATTGCATTTTGGGCAAATCCCAATGACATCATTTAGAGCATTTGTGCACAGAGCTGATCTGTGGAATGTGATCCAGCTCATTCTTAAGGGCTTTGGTGGTTCTGAACCTCTTCTCCAAATAAATCTGCTCTTCCCTGGTTAGTATCGCTGCCCTCTGTTATGTAACCGCAGGAACGTATTTGAAGTCACATACGGACTGGATTGGAGTGCTATGTGTTATCGAGGTTTGTATATTTGTGCTTCTTTCTCCATGGGGCAGTATTTCCTGGTTAAAATTACACAATATTGACAAAAGAACAGGCCTGAAACACTTTGAGGAAAACCAAGTTCTGTTGCCAGCCAAATCCTTCTGGAAAGTGTGTCAATCCTTTCTTATGCTTTAGGTTCTGCTGAGAGATCAGCAGAAAAAAGGTCCCAAACAATATCCTGGAGTGCAGGAAACATCATTTGTGCACATTATTTCCTGGACTCGTTGAAGGAGGGTTAGAGTACCTGATGATACCACCAAATGAAGGGATCTAATAATAACCTTCCCCCGTAAGAGGAGGGACATCTGGACAGCATCGAGGGCCGGGATAGGCTTTGCAAAGAGGGACATTACATTTCCAAGCAATATCTGATAGCTTCTTGCTTTGAGTCCAGCCACAGAGAGAACCAATAAGATCTTAGAAGCACATCCAGCTGAACACCAACAGAATCCAACTTTTACAATTAATCGCAGGAGGAGGAGGAGGAGGAGGAGGAGGAGTAGGAGGAGGAGTAGGAGGAGGAGGAGGAGGAGGAGGAGGAGGAGGAGGAGGAGGAGGGTTTTTAGGTTCAATCCAAGAGTAATCCAATCCAAAATTAGGTCAAACTGAATTACTGGCAGCTCATTCACATCTCTTCTCACAGCAGAGGGATTCATTCTGAATGAAGGTGTTTATTGGCCTTGTTGAGCCACCTCAAGTATCAAGGGCTGAGACCCTCCTCCCCGTGTCATGGCACGTCACACTCGATGTATGGGATGTCTCCGTAGCGGCGGTCCACCTCCACCCACTGCTGCACGGCCCGGGCCACAATCTCCTCGGACAGCCTGTGAGCGTACTCCATCAGCACAGGGTTGGTGTGGGGGGAGCCCTCCACCCAGCCCGTCTCCGAGTGCACCAGGTAGGTCTTCTCCCCCCTCGCCCTGCCTTTCACTCTGGAGTTTGCATTCTGGGCTGCGCAGTCGCTCCTCTTGGATTTCACACACCCCATACTCTGGAGGATGTTGCATTGATTTACTGCAACAAGAAGGAGTGAATAAAAGACAGCGCTGAGCAATGTTCAAAACAACAGATCTGAATTTCAAGTTACATTAAAACAATTATATATTATCTAGGATTAAAGGAATAATGTCAAAGCAGGATTTGGAGTCTGGATCTTCAGTAGACTCGACTACTATAATGGTGTCTTCACAGGTCTCACTAAAGACTCTATTAGGAAGCTGCAGCTGATTCAGAACGCCGCTGCTCGAGTCCTCACTAACACTAAGAAAGTGGATCACATCACTCCTGTTCTGAAGTCTTTACACTGGCTTCCTGTGTGTCAAAGAATAGATTTCAAAATACTGCTGCTGGTTTATAAAGCACTGAATGCTTTAGGCCCAAAATACATTATGAAAGATCCAGAACTCTCAGGTCTTCTGGGAAGGCTCTGCTGCTAACATGGAGAAGCAGCGTTCAGTTATTATGCTCCAAATATCTGGAACAAACTCCCAGAGAACTGCAGGTCCGCTGCAACTCTGACTACTTTTTAAGACTTTTTTCCACTGCTTTTAATTGAACTACTCATATCTTACACTGCACTGTATACAACCTGTGTTATTCTATATTAGCTGGATCTATGTTTATTATATTCTCTTTGCTTTTTAATGAGAGTTTTTTCTTGTTCAATGCCATTTTATAAAATGTATCCGCATTTGAATTGCCGTGTGTTGACAAGTGCTGTATAAACTTGCCTTGCCTTACTGTAGGGTGGGAGAGACTGAGTGAGATGTCACACATGGAAGTTTTAACGGTCAGCTCAGCTCTATGCTTCCCCTTGCCCTCACTGCGCTCCTGTCATCCACTCCCCCTCCCGTCCATGTCTGAACATGTGAGACACATTAGAGGGGGAGATCTAGAAGGTGCTGGGGGCCCATCCCTGAGTGAACCTTCTCGCTTCCTGCTGAAACCTCATTGCAACTGCAGAGAGAAAGAGTCAAACAGATCAAATCAAGCTTTATTTATACTAAACGTCTGAACTTGTACTTGCATTACAGCAGCTTCATCAAACAAGGACAAATGTTGTTTTTAATGTCTTGTAAACGCACTGTTGAGGAACCTGCGATCAAATTGTTTTCATAAATACACAACAACACCGTAAAACATGCTCAAAGACCCTCAATCGTACATTTGACCTGTGTATTTACAGTATAGAACTTTTCATTCTCAAAGTGAACTGCTTCACAAACCAGACACGTAGACAAGCCACAGGCTATAGGCTGCTTCTTCTTATCTTATCCTATGTACATCTCTTAAGACTCCTGCATTACTTGTTCACTTTCATAATTCTCTGCATTAATTAGCAAATTGTATTTATTTATTTTTACTGACATGTAAATAGTACACTTTACCTTCATTACTTGCACGTTTTTCTTGCAACATAATCTTGCACTCTGTTCTTCTTGCACTATTTTTATTGTTTTTTAAATTTGTTTTTTCATTTTTTCATTTTCATTGCCATATCTACACTGTTCATATAACAATAAAGCCTTTGAATGTTCAATTTACAAATAAAACTAACAATACTATCTCCCCACAAAAGTTATAACCAGAGTAACACATAGCTTTATGATTAAAAAGAAAACGTAATACCAATGCAGGACAGAATAAAACTGGAATAAAATGAAAATAAATAAATAAAATAACAAAAGATTATAAGTATAGAGGGAGGATTTCAGTCATTTATTTTCCATCAGTCAGCCTACCAGGAGCTGTATGACCCAAGCCCAGGTCAAGGCCTCACCTCTGCAGGGTCACTTTTGAACTGCTGCTCTGCACATCAAGTGTTACTCATCCCCCCCCACCTCTACCCCAGTGACTCAATTCCTCGCCCTAATTTGTATTGCATGGCACGGGGGACGCTTGTCTCTATCTGAGTGCCCTGGTGCTGTGCGGCTGTGCTGCTGTAAGCCTGACTCTCCATCTGTTCCACTGACAGGCTCCAGGACTACAGGCCCTGGAACACTCTGCAAACATGTGCTTCATTCATTGTTGGTCAGGACTCCCTGGAAGAAGAGATCTTGTATCTCAATGGGACATTCCTGGATAAATAAAGGATAAATAAAATAAAATAAAAATAAAATTCAGAAAAGCTGCACAACACCAGGCTGTGAATCATGTCAGCAGGGAGTCTCCCTCAGAGTCAAACAACATTTTGGAGGTGCACTCACAAAACCCTCTGTTATATTCCTGTAAAACATCTCAATGTTGATACACCTCAATTGTGGGAGCATCCACTATCTGTCAGACATGCTAGGATTTGGATTAAACCACATTACTGTTTGAAAAACACAAACTGAGTCTCAGTGGGGAAAGCAAACATGAGATTAAACATGTCAACAGGATGAGTGTGATACTGTAGCTGTACATACTTTTAAATGAGTGTGGCTAATGCGGCTGCTTTTTCTCCATTCCGACAAAAATAAAATAATCCAGAGAAAGGAGTAGAACCCAAGGTCGTTCAAATAAAAGATGATCCAGACATCAGTTGCTGCCGCGCCGCATCCCCTACCTCCTCCTCGGCTCTCCAAACACTATCCAAGCGGGTTGACTTGCACGTTTGTGTGAGAAACAAAATGATATTTAAAGTTGCTGCTCCCTGTTTCTGTTTCTGCAGCATGAAGAGCTCCACACCAGATTGCAAAAATAATCTCTGTGGGGGGGATCCGGGCCTGCAGACGGGCTCCCTGTTGCCTTCACCCCGGTGGAGAGGAGCTGCTCAGTGGAGGGAGAGGTCAGCTGTGATCCGGCTTCATTCTGACTGACTCTCCGGGAACTCCCGAGCTGCAGCGGCGCTCAGGAGGAGGAGAGTCCGGCCGCTGCGCACTGACACACGGCGGCTACGAGGGAGCACCGCGGAGGACTGGAGCAACACTGCCACCTGGTGGATTTACTGAGTCCGCCAAGTGGCAGTACTAAGTAAGTACTGCCACCTGGCAATGGTTTTATGCGCCTCTTATAACCATTGTTCTTAAAGGTGGGGTAGGTAATTCACTTCAGAAACTATTGTTGTTATATTCCATGGAATGCTCTTAACATCCCGATAGCAATGAATACATTAAACACTTTGACAATAAATACATAAGAAAATGTCATCTGTGGAAGCCGTGGCGCTGTAAAAAGCACGACCAATTATGTTAGCAGGCCCGGCTAAAATAACTGGATGGCCTACCTGCCTGTCAGCCTTCCATCTCGTGAACAAACTTATCTCGTGCCCTCATTGGTCATGTGCGCGTTCGTGTATGTTGGAGGAGGTGCTCTGTAAGGAACTCTGAAGGAAGGGGCAGATTTTTTTCGGCTGCGTACTTTCAAATTCTAGCGCACTCAAACTGGTTTCTCCATTCTTATCTACCCTACCTTTAAAGGTCCCCTATAATACAAAATGCACTTTTTGATGTCTTTTATACAAATATGTGTCCCCGATGTATAAGGAGAGTCACAAAGTGACAGCTTTACACCCACGGCCCTATCAGAAACGTCACTGTATCAGAAACAATGTGCGACGTGTTTTGGAAGTAATATGGTCTTTGTTAAACCGCGGTGAATTTAGTTTTAGGTTGGATATTCGACGGACATTCGCGGATCCGCCAGCAGCGTCAGTTTCCCCTGCTGCTGGCTGTATTACGACAGGGAGATCTTCTCCGCGAAACGAGGCTTTCACTTAGGGACCATCAACAAACATTTTTCTTTTTAATAAATTGACAGCTTCCCGATCGTGTGAATGTGAAGCAAATCCACGCTAGAGCATGCATTTGTTGAACACACCTCTTTTTATTGCATTGTAATACTTTAAATTACAATTAATAATCAAAATATTAATATAAAAATATTTAGAGTGTTAAAATACAATAAAAAGAGGTGTGTCCTATGCAGCCAGTGTAGTTCTTTGACCCAGCATTGATGTTGAGTCATTAGGTCACATGACCTGGAAGGTATTGAAGAAATAAGCAAATGTTTCCATCAAAAATATTAATAAAACGTATTTAAAGTATTAAAATGCAATAAAAAGAGGTGTGTTCAATAAATGTATGCTCTAGAGTGAATTTGCTTCACATTCACACGATCGAGAAGCTGTCGATTTATTACAAAGAACATTTTTCTTGTCTAATTGTAAAAGTCATTTGTTGATGGTCCCTAAATCAAAGCCTCGTTTCGCGGAGAAGATCTCCCCGGGAAACTGACGCTGCTGGCGGGTCCGCGAATGTCCGTCGAATATCCAACCTAAAACTAAATTCACCGCGGTCTTTGTTAACATTAGCAAGCATCGCTAACACTGTACTGGAGAGAGTATGTGTAAAAAAGCAGGATATAAAAAGGTACTCACCTTGTGGTAAACCCATGAGAGAAATAGCATTTGAGCTCCATACTGTTTCAGAAATAATCCTTGATGTTGTTTGGAGCATAATATGGCGTTTATTCACGGCAGCATTTACCTGAGTATCTAGGTAGAATTCTCCTGAGCTCTCTCTTTAAAATGGGTGATCTCTTTGGTATTTTGAGCAAAACACTTTATAGACATTTTGTTATGTATCTGGGACCTATAATATATGCCTACAAATAGTATAATAGGAGACCTTTAAAGTACTCAGCACCAGTGTTGGGGACATAGGTGTAATTTACATAGTGTCTCTACTGTAGGCTATTTTTATTATATGTACAGCACTTTGGCTCGACCAAAAATGGTTTATAAATGTGCTATATAAATAAAACTTGATTTGATTTGATTCGATTTACATCAGGGACATTTGGGACATGTCCCCACCACTTTTTCAAATGGCTGATTTAATCCATATTACTTTTCCAAAGTATAATTTCTAACAAATGCTCCAATAAATGTTCATTGAAATGCAGGGTGTCTGCACAGCTTTGGGGGGACCAAGAATAGTCTGCAGTGACAAGGACCACAGAGCAGGGGCCACACTGGGGAGGGTATGTGGGGAATAAGTGTAATGGTATAATAAGCAGTTGTAAGGTGTTAAAAAGCTAAACCCCATTAGAGAGGTCTACATGGCAGGAAAGGGTTGTTTAATTTAAAATAGAGAGAAATGTAACAAGACGAATAGGGAAGAGACAAAAGACACAGAAAGCTGTTGATATTCTCTGTTGAAAAATCAAGAGGCACATATATTCACATTGTTTTATTATTATGTTTTGTACAGAGCTCTTATTTTAAAATGCGCTCACAGTGCAACCATAACACCATTTCCAAATAATTCAGGTACATTTGCTAAATAAGAATTAGGTTGTTAAGCCCAACCCTTAGTTGGCCATAGGGCTAACACAATTCCACCAAATACACCACATAAAGACTCCTTTCAAATAATCAAATCCATAGGATTAATTGTAATGAAACGTGCAAATTGTACAAATATGAATCCCAGGCAGAAACCCAGCAGTCCAGCGGCCTCCTCTTCATGCTGCTCTGGAGCTCTAGAGCGCTTCCTTCCCAGGTGCACCTCGCCATGCGCCTCCTTACAGCCATGCAGCACACCTGGGCAGATCTACTGGAGGGAAAAGGGCACATGAACACAAATAGCCGTAACAAGGTAAATGGTTAACTAAAAAATAAATAAACAATTCTATTATTCAGACCTAAGCTCTTAGGTCCTTAACTGTACTCATCACTCTGGCTGCAAGTGTTACACATTTTCAGTTAAGTTTTAGGTTCTGTATCTTGCCTTTACTCTCTTTAAACAGCTCTCCCATTATGTGTTTTTATTACTGGGTATATTACTTCATTGATCTTAGAAATGAATAAATGGATAGTCCATATAACGGCTATCATTCACTCAGTGTCTGCTGTTTACTAAGGTGTATTGGAGCTTAGCCAAAGAGAACATAAACTATACAAGCGACCGCTGAAATGCAGTCACATTGAATGCCACCATCTTTATGTTGTGAAATTCAAAAGGTTTGAAAAACAAGAGAGTATAAGTACGTTGAAAATATCATGAAACAGTCTTGGCATAGTATGTCAACAAATAGTAGGGTTTGTAGTAACACATGAAATACAAAAGTATACATTTGTATAGTATGGTGAAACTATCTTTAATAAAAGTCAAAGTAATGTTGAAAAATCTATAGTATGGTCGCTTTGGATAAAAGCGTCTAACAAGTGACATGTAATGTAATAATAATATAATGTATGTCAATGTCTGGGAAAAAGGAATAGTGTAGTGTATCAAAAAAGTCAAGTCAGTGTACCATGTCAAAACATCTGTTAAAAAGGTATAGATTAGTTTGTCAAAAAATATACAAATGTCATAGTATAGTATTTTGAAAAATACAATAGACTTGTTTATTAATTATTTAGAAGATATCATGAAGAAAGTCATAGCATTATTATAAAATATCATAACAAATAGTACGTCTAAAAATATGTGAAAGCCAGAGTAAAGTATATCCTATATGTTGAAAATATCATTAAAACATATATAGTGTATTGTGTTGAAATGTAATGAAACGGACCAAAAATGAAGCCAAAAGTCAAAGTATAGTATGAAAGTAGATTATCATGGAAACAAAGTCATGGTATAGAATGTATAAAAATGAAAAATAAAAAACGTGGAAAAGTCATACTATGTTACATAGTAGGTTGTAAATATGATGCATACAGTTATAGTATAGAATGTCAAATGATGTTGAAAAAGTAAAAGTATAGTATGTTTTGAAAAGGTAAATTAAAGTCATAGTACACCATGTCAAATTAAAGACAGTATGTATAAAATGTTGGAAAATAGGAACAAATACATTATAGTCTGAGGTAAAAAGTAGAATATTGAAATGATCATGACAAAAACCTAGTATTGTTTTTTGAAAAACTCATAGCATATAATGTCGAATATCAGGAAGAATTTTAAAAAGCAATCATATAGAATTTTGAAAATATCAGGAAAAATGTCACAACATTAAAAACATTTGTACAATATTAATTATTTCTTTACATTATGTATTTAGTAGCCTTTTATACATTCAGATGTGTTTATAAGAGTACATGGTTTATCAATCCCTGTATTTATCTAGCCAAGTGTTCGAAGCTTGGCTCTGTTCCTGACTGTATTTCATTTCTCCACCCATGTTCAGGTCGCCATGTGACTGCTTGTTGTTGATGATGACAGGTGTCACGATGATGTGTCCTTGCCACACGGTGGCGCTATCCTCTCATATTATACTGCCTGGTTTCACCAACAACGACTTAAACAAGAGGATTAAGGTTTCTTTCTTTATCGTTGCTGATTTATTTTTTAAATCCTGAACATGGAAGGATGCATCAGTTCCGAATTGACATGGGCCAATAATGGTATAAAAAGACTTGAAAGGGAGTTTACAAAAATGGTAAATGTATGCATGCATAAGTGTATACAAATAAAAGCCCATCCAATAGAAGAATATTTGAATAACAATTTTGAAGAAATACTATAACATTATGTTTATAAATTCAACAGCTCTTAATAAAATGTATTTCCATGTACATGCTGGCCCAGCCGCACATACCTGTCCTCAGAGTTCACTGTTAAAACACTTTTGACACAAACATTTGAGGTTGTATCTTTCTCAACGTGCGAACTCAAACACGTATTAGGCTACACTCTGATCCGAGTATGGTGCTACTTCCATTTATGAAGTCCACATTTGGTTGTCTGGTGTTAATGTGTGGTGATGTAACTTCATCAGGTTCATCTAAACGTTACATATAACGCAGACAGTCCGTGGGCGCCTCTCCGCTCATTGCGCAATCCGTGCTAGAAAAGTGAATTTGTGTATCTGCGGACACGTGTTGCACATGCTCACAGCCTCCATCCCTTTATGGGTTGACAACGAAAAAAA